CCTCTCCAAAAATAAATAAATAAATAAATAAATAAATAAATAAATAAAAATAAAAAATAAAACTCACACAAGGCATGTGTGCGTGCATACCCAAGATACGGAGAGGAGAATGGAGGCAAAGGGATTGTGGTTTGGCCATCCCTCTGGGGGGGTGATTTCTCATTTTCTGTCTCTCTGGCAAGCACACACACCTGATAGCAAAAATCTCTCTCAAAAAAAAAAGAAAAAGAAAAAGAAAAAGAAAGAAAAAGAAACAAAGAATTCAGTGCAATTGATTATTTTCCCTTTTTTAATTGCTAGAGGGTGCTTGTATTTGCCAGAGAGACGGAGGGGAGGGAAAGGGAGAAAACGCCCCCCACCCATAGGTGTAGTCATGTGACAATTCCAACTCCTCCATTCTCCACCCTGCTGCTGGGATTTTAGGGACACACTCACATGTCCAGCCTCACTAGGGCTGGGACTAGAACTGCAGTTGGCCATGTGGAATATGGCTCCTTTAACTGCTGAGCTATGGGGCCAGCCTGATTTTTCTCCTTTATTCACTATAGGGTGCATGTGCACAGATGTGTATGAGAAAGAGGGAGATGAGCACCCTCCCAGGGTCTGGTCACAACATGATCCCCTTCCTCTAGCCCTGCGGTTCATTGCACATGGGCACTTGTGTACATGCCTGATGTGTTTTTAGGCTGACAGGGCCAGGGATTTGAACCATGATCACCATGAGGAATCCAGATTCTCTTGAGCTGCATGTTGGCCCACCAAGGCAACTGAGTTTTAAATAACCAGGGTGATTTAGGGGTTAAGGTAAGGGATATATGTATAGATGTTGGTGGGTCCCTGAGAAAGGCACTGTATGTCGTATTCTCCAGGTCAAGCCTGCCGTTGCTGCTGGGGAAGCACAAGCGTACACCGGCCAGAAAGCCAGAAGCTCCTTGCCCAGGTGGATTAGGTGGCAACCTGTGTGGATGAGTGACAGAGGGTTAGGCATGACAATGACAGTCTCTTGAATTTTTTTTTTTTTTTTGGAGAGGTTTTCGCTATAGGGCGTGTGCTCGCCAGACAAACAGAGAGAGACAGAGAGACAGAAAGTGAGAAATCACCCCCCAGGGGGGATGGTCACGCCACAATCCCTTCTCCTCCATTCTCTTCTCAGGATCTTGGGCACGCACGCACACACGCCCGTTGTGAGTTCTAAGCCACCGGATCCGGGACGCAAACTGCGGTCGACTACGTGGGAGTCCAGCGACATAGCCATTATGCTAACTGCTGGTTCCCAACAGTCTCTTGAATTGCCAGCTCCAGCAACTGATACTGAGGATTAGATGAACGTACCCTCTCCTTTTGGCCCTGTGTTAATTTCCCAAAAGATGTATATGACCTGAAAATTAAGGGAGAGAAGAACCCTGAAGTAAGATCATTTCTACCACCCAGATGGAAAACAGAGTTGAAAAGAAATGTATGTGTCATGGGATAAAAAAAACAACCAATGAATAGAAATTAGTTCTCACACAGAAAAATCTGTGACCTGAGATTCGCTGAGATTCGTAATCCTACAAATCAGCACTGATTTTTTTTTTTTTTTTTGAGAGGGTTTCACTATAGGGCGCGTGAGCTCGCCCGACAGATAGATAGAGAGAGGAAGAG